ATGGTTAGAATGAGAATTTTCCAAGTGTTATGTTATTTGAGCTATAGAGAGTTTAATTGTAAAGTTCTTCCTTGTCTTTCTACATTGCATGCGTGTTCCTTCACTTCATAAGCTAATTAAATCAATCAATCAACAGCAACGTAGAACTTCGTACGTACGTACATCAGTTCAAGTTGCCATACCACATTAGCATAGGGATACAATTGTCAACTCAAATCACATAGTAGTAGAGTTAGTAGAAGTATTGGTAGTAGTCGGAGAGATTAAGATTCGCGGATATTATTCAAGAAGTGTAATTCAGTGAAAAATAAACTTAGAAAGAGAAAGATAAACGTAACGAGGAATTCAGAAGATTACAAGTTAACAGAACACAAAGAATGGATGCACCTGCGCCACTTCAAACGACTTTGAGCCATGTCATTCAAAGTCCCTAACCATCGGTTCCTATTATCTCACTCTCCTCAACTAGGTAGTCTACACCTAATGACATGGCTCAGTCCAGTTGTCAGTGACTTCATGGATTTTTGCCATGTTTTGGTCTGGCTCCCCATAGATTCCTTCCACCCCTAACCATATACTACAAAACATAGCTCCACGAGGCAGTCAGTAGTTAGGCATGCGTAACACATAGCTAGTTAAAAGAGAATATTGTTTATCATTTAACTTACTCATCGTGATTTTTACAGCAAATTAATTGATTGGATACAAATCCAATGTTTAAGTATGTAGCTTTATCTTGAATATATAGATTCTTGTACATGTACATTTATTTTATAATCTCTAAACATACTACTAATAGACAACAACAATTGTCCAATTCTATGATGCCTTAACTTTTATCATTAATCCAATGATGATAATCAACTCTTCTACACATTGTATGATGCATGTAAAATTAATTGCTTAACATACAATGAATTATTAAAAAAATAGATTAGATTTAAAAGAAAACAAATGATCATTCTCTCTTAGGTTTTCATTCTGTCTATTACACATATTCGTATTATTAAGCATACATATATATACATAGATAGATAGATAGGCATTGGTTTGTCGTCAATTAGTTCATGGACATTGCGTATATATAATTTTTTTTGGTTTGTTTATTTATACTACTATTTACAAGACCACACACACACGCATACATTGATCATGAAGTCAATTCATAGTTTTGTATAAGATTGTAGTAAAGTTTCATTGCAAAACCATAAAGAAACCTATTATTATTATTATTACTAGTCTTTACTCTTAATAGAATTGTTGTTTTTAATTATATTGTAAAAAAAAAAGAAACAATAAATAAGGGTAAACTATAAAACAATTGAACATTGAATCATGAGTGATACTGATGATTTAAAAACATATTGTATGTATGTATGTATGTACGTGGTATACTGCAATATTATTGTAATATGATATGTAAATGTAACCTAACAACAATTAAGAGGGTGGTATATTTGTTTTTGTTTTGTTTTTTTCTTCTGCACTAAATCCATCGATTGTTGTATGTAGATTTTTTTTACTTTATTCTGTTTCAGATTGTTTTGTTTTATGATATCACACTAAATGCTAATTGATCATTTTGTTTTAGTAATTTGAAGGTAAATCAAATACATTAGAACGGTATACTGACTTGGTTACAATGCGATCAGTTTCAATTACTTACTCATTATGTGTGACTTGAAATTCCTGAATTTGAATATTAATCCAAGCAGAGATAGGTGGTGGCTAACAGTATAATCTGTAACGTGCGTTTTCTGTTGTACTGGGGATGTGTCAGATGAAGTTATCCCGATTTCAGTGTTGATGTGCCAAATGACACAGAGTAATTGCAGTTGTAAAAATTAATGAGATTTTTTGCACATTTGAAATCATCAATCAATCATCGTTGGACTACCATTAGAAACTTGGAAGCACTGAAAGACGGCCGTCATGTCCTGGTATTGGACTCATCAGCAGTGCGCATCCACGACTCCTGCACCTCGCAGGTTTCGAACCCAAGAACTTTGGTCTTGCGCGTGAACCTCTGGAACATTGGGCCGGTATCCAACGGTGTTGTTAATGTCTAACTCTGATCAATCTACAGATTTTGCGCGACCTCACCCATTTGTCTTTGGTAGTTACTTCCTACATCCGACAGTGTTGCACTCCACTGGTCACATCTTCTCACTAGAACTCCGAGAGTTTTTTCACAAAGTTAGTCACTAGGGAGCACATTTTACGATTTTTTTCAGTTGGAGTTATGGAGATTAGTGTTTTTTGCCCATGGAAATCATCAACCAATCATGGGATTATCTAAATAGCCAATATATATATGGATTTACTCACTTATTTCTAATAATCTCTTCGATTCATGCACTTTTCTATTATTACTTGAAATAATACTAGTTTGACTAATTCAGTATACACCTGTCTCATTTTATCAATGTTTAGATCTCAAGTTTCACGTTGCCTATGATTGACTGACTGACTGAATGATTAGGTAGAGTAATTTAAAATTGATTACACTAATATGACACACAAATCTATTCACGTACACCCAATAATAGTACTAGTGACAATTTGTCTTTTTGACATTGGCATTCTTCTCTCTCTCTCTCTATACATACAGATATTTTATATTATTGTAGAAAATGTTAACTAGTGCATATTTAGCTGTTTTCTCATAAATATATTTTACAAATATAATAGAATAATTAGACAAATTCTACACAAATGTTTCACAGCATGATAAACAAAAACAAAAAAAAACAATTTCCAATCTTATATAAAAGTTGTATTCTATGATGACTTAACTAACATCGATCATAAATAATAATGATCAGAGAGAGAGAGAGAGAGAGAGAGAGAGTAGTATACAATTAATCATGTATTCTATTGAATGATGTATGTCCATTTCAATTATCTACCTATTATTATTATTTTTTAAAACTTTATTTTCGTATTATTCAAAAAACTTCATTATTATTGTATCAATCAGTCAGTTGCTTGTAAAGCCTAATTGACACTATTATGAATGCATACAAAGCATAAGTCTATTAAGACACTTGATTGATTTTCGTGTTTTTTCTTTGGAATGAACTATGGTTGCATAAGCCAAAATCAATGTGAACCTTGTTCTCATATTATTGTTATTATTATTATTATTGTTATTATTTTGTTTATTTTATTCATATGTATTCTATGTATTGATTGATGTAGTAGTATACACATTCCGGATACAACAACAAAGCTATCGGTAAAGAAAGTATGCACGATGAGAAAAAAATAATAATAAACAAATAAGCCTATCATAACCAAATGAATAATGAATAAACCAAAAATAGTATTTTTGACAAGAGATACACTTCAATCACAATGAAGTAGTAAATTAATGATAAAATGTAGGCTTGCTTGTCCATTGGTTTATATTCTCTTAGTGATGTCTGACAGCAAGCACTTCAAGCTGTTATCTTTAAGACACCAACTGGAGAGACGTCATGTTAAGTAAGCTATTTGTTAGTCATAATGCATAAAGGATGGTGCAGAAGTAATACCTATAATAAAAGCGATATCTGTTTGTTAACACCAAAGGACGAGTCTATTGCGCGGCAATTCGCTCTGTCTTGCTACATGGATGAGATGAGGATATTCGTAGGTTATTAGTATTCGATCGTAGGTGTATTCGAAGCATTGACCTGGGACAACTGAGTAAGCAATGCTGTCGTTAGGAAACTAGTACACTAGGTAAGGATGATAGATCAATTGATGAAGTATTGAAACTTCATCAGTTGAAGTGGTTGGGAGATGCGTTACGAATGCCGAACCACCGACTGCCTAGACAAGTGATGTTTTGTGGTATATGGTTAGGCTGGAAGGGATCTAGGGGCGGCCAAACCAAAACATGGCACAAATACACGACATGGCTCAAAATCGTTTGCGATGCATCCACTATATGGTTTCTCTAAGATTCTAATCTTCTGACTTCATCACCTTTATCTTTCTCTTTTTAAATTTATTGCACTGAGTTATAATTCTTGAATAATTTCTTCGAACCCTAATCTCTCCGAATACTTCTAATACTTTTACTACCTCTATTACTATGGGATTTGAATTGATAATTGAGTCTCTGTACTAATGTGGTATGGCAACATGAACTGATGTACTTACGTACGAAGTTCTACGTTGTAACTGACTGACTGACCTATCAGAGTAATATCACTAGCTCTTACGCTTAGAATGAAGCTCATAGCCAAATATCTGGTAAATAATTTAATTATGATTACAAGTACCGCTCCTTTATATCACACCGCCATGTCAAAAACTGTCCACCTCTCTCATTTTTCCAACCAATTCGAGTCAGCAAGTAAAGCACAAAATGAAAGTCGCTGGGGTGATCTTTACAAGACATGTCCAAACCAGTGTTTCAAGATGGTAAAACCAACTGAGTTGTTCCCCTGTCCGAAAATAAATTGTCGAACGTCAGCAACCATTTGGAGACAACAATGATCGAATACACATAATCGCTAGTATCCCCAACTCCGGGACAAGGTTTTCATAAGCATACAACATAACTACTCCCATCGAGGCGTTGTAAGCCTAACTGTTTACATCAAAACTAGCATAACAATGGCTCTAAAGTTAGTCCAGGCTAGTGTAAGCTACTCTGGCATTTACTTATACTAGATTGATATAATCAATCACACCACTATTCAGAAAGATAAAATTTCCGATTACTTCTAACAACTTAACCACGAAATGAATGTAGGCATAGGCCCCTTGCTAGTCTCTCAGGAGCACTTCGTATTTACAGATACTAAGTGTACAATGTAGTTAAACATAAAACGCATATATCTATTAGCTTGGTTTCGAACTTAGACATCTAAGGTACACATCATGAGTTCCATAAATCATTTACACAAGTCATCAACCTAAATGTAATTTACAAATAATCTTTCCTTTGTGTCATCTAATCGATTTTTATTTTTATTATTATATCTAATTACTCCTTTCTTGTTCAGTGACAGAATGCTACAACCACCTCCACCGCCAACACGTACAATGATCTTATCGAATGATCTTGATACAGCTGCCTTACTTGCAACAAATAATAATAATAACAACCATTCCAACTTGAATACACATTTCAAAAATATTTTCAATGATGGAAATAAGTCATCAGATGTTGTACAAGAAAATTCTCATAATCTAATTGGGAAATTATCAACTGTATCAAATTTCAGTAATAATAACAATAATCATTTACCACCACCTTTAATTCCTGCTCCATCAAATTTTAATTGGGATATGTTGAACAATAATTATTGTCAAGAATGGTTACGATTAGCTAATAATATTGGTTGTGATAATTTATCGCCAACATCATTAACAACAGCATTTCATGGATTATGGCAATTATCATCATCTAATCAAGAATTTCAAAAGAACAATGTAAATTTAGCTGCACAATTAATTAAAGCTAATCAAAATTTCAATAATCTTACATTATCATCTATTGATACAAAGGTGAGTTTAATAAGTATTTTTTCACTAACCCATTATTAGGATAATGAAACAATTTATTGTAATTCAATCATTATTAGTATACAATCTAGTAGGATGAACTAGTTACAGTTGTTATAGCTTACTTTAAGGCATATTTTGTATTCCTTAATCATCTTCTATCTTGACGCGTAGTGTCTGTGGGTATAGCAATAAATGGAATGAAGGCTAGAGGCAACCAATCCAAGAGGTGATATCAGTCTGTGGAAACATTGACCGTAGCGGGTGTAGTTTAGTTGACTGGAGTCGGCACGATTGTGACTAATGGCTGCAGACGATAATTAAAAGCTCAGAATCGGTCACCATGACACAGATGCATATACTTTCCTCCCTAAAACCTGGAGTTTTTTCATCTATCTTAAAAACTTTACACGTCTTTCCTACGGGCTCATTCTTGCTTCTCGAATCACCTCTATGCTATAGTTACCACTTTTACTAACTGACTAACCTAGAATCTTTCTTGATAATACATCTCACAACGCTGGTGGAGTAGTTTGGAGTGGTGTGCGTATGTCCTAAATTCTACAGCGCTGATGATAAAATAGTTGAGTACTTAATACTGATAACGTAGCAAACTATATGACGTTGTTTAGACAAGTATTCTGAAACATAGCAACTTGAATAATATAGGTTATCCAATTAATCTCATTTCTTTCATATTATTCCACAGATTTGTAAGTACGTAATCAACCAGCAGATAATATTCATCATAATGGTAAATAGGTTAATGAAGTGCGAAACTTCATCGACTGAGATGGTTGGGATGTTGCGTACAACTTACCACCACTGTCTATCTCAATGGGCATGTGTAAATGTGGTTTGAAAAAAGATAGAAATGGCCAAGCAAAAACATGACATCAATTTGTGAAGTCACTGACTAATCGATTGAGACATTTTCGCAGTCAGTCAGTTACAACGTATAACCCAGTACGTACGTACGTACGTCAGTTCAAGTAGCTATACCACGGTAGCACAGAGATGCGATTGTCGATTCAAATCCCATAGTGGTAGAGGTAGTAGAAGTAATAGTGTAGTGAAGGAGAACACAGGTGGGGCAACCGAATTGTATTTAACGAAGATTACAGAGTTACTCAGTAAAATCGGAAAACCATATCGTAAATCGTTCATTTGCAAAATATCAGTTCATCATATCGAACTGGACTGTTCTTATTGCAAAACATCAATCCATTGTCACTATTCATGCGTTTCATACAAATTCCATTGTTTTCTAACTCTTCCTTTCTTGATCTTCCCCCATCTTCGGCTGCCAGACATTACGTCGACGATCACCTCATATACTACTTATAAGTAGCTCGCACCACAATAGTGGTAATCACAAAACTCACGGTCCGATTATCCAGGAAATATAATCCAAAGAAATAAATTTGAGAGGACAAAGATAAAGATCATGAGTTTCGATTAGAATTTGGGAAAGCACAAAGAATCGACGCACCTGTGCCATTGCAAGCGATTTAGAACCATGTCATTCAAGGTCTCTAACCATCGACTACCATCATCTAGCGGACATCAACCACGTAGCCTACACCTACCAACACGGCTCAGTTTAATCGTCAGTAACTTCATGGATTTGTGCCATGCTTTGGTTCGGCCGCCCTTACCATTCTTCCAGCCTCCCTACATCACAAAACACTGCTCATTCAGACAGTCGGTGGTTAGGCATACGTAACGCATGTCCCAACCACCTCAACTGATGAAGTTTCAATACTTCATCTATGGATCTTCTATCCTTATATAGTACCCGTTTCCTAACCTCAGCACTGCTCACTCGATGGTCCCAGGATATGCGAGCAATGCTTTGAAGGCATCGAATACGAACATTCATGTTTCACACCAGTATAGCAGGATGGAGCGAACTGCTGCGCAGTAGATTCGCCCTTAGGTGTTAGCAGATGGATATCTCGCCTACGCCGTAAGTGACGCAAGTTGGTAAAAGCCAGTCGAGCCTTCTGTCAGTCACCAGGCCATCAGCACTGGCGAGACTCCCTAGATAAGTGAACCCGTTGACATACTCAACTGCCTCACTCCCTAACACTAGTTCAGGTGCCGACGCAAGCTAATCCTGAAGCGAGGAGGAAAACCGCATCCTCAACATGCTTGCATTGTTGCTTAGGGTGGTCAGAAGGCACTGCATTTAGTCAGCGTTTTCACCAAATAGAACTATGTCATCTGCAAGTTCGAAGTGAACGAGTGAGTCTCAAGGTAAATGTCAATTCCTGAAAAACTAGACGATGAAAGCATCGTCTCTAAAAACAATCAACGACAAAGTTAAATAAGAATGGAGAGAGTGGACAGCCCTGACGGACACCACTTGAAGTAAAGAAATCCAATGACAGTTTGCCATAAGCTGTAAATCGACCAGAAGTTTCCGGATAGAGAGCCTGTATGAGGTTAATGTACTTCTTTGATACTCCTTTCAGTGACAGACGTTGCCACATAGTCGAATGCCGCCTTAAGGTCAAAAAATATTACTATTGTGGCACGTCTCTGTCCCAGGACCTGCCGTAGTGTGAATATGTGGTCTATACAGCCACGTCCGGGTCTGAAACCAGCCTGGTTTTCTCTAGTCTGCTCTTCACGAGCTATGGTTAGGCGTATAAGCATAATCGAGGCTAACAATTTAGAAAATATATTAGTTAGACTTATTCCTTTGCGATTGTCACAAGAGGACTTTTGTCCTCTCTTATAAATTGCGACTAGTCAGATGGGATTACGCCCAGTTCTCAGTCAACCTTACTAATAAAACGACCAGCATCCTTAAAAATCTCAAGGGTAAACTTGATAGGCCCTACTGCTCTACATTGCTTTAGATTTTCTATAGCCTTTTAAACTTCATTAAGAGTCTGAGGACTTACATCGATTCCCCATCCAGCCGCAAACAAATATGCGCTCGCACTAGAGCATGATCTGAACGAGCGACAGATTTCTATTGAGCCCCTCCACTGGTGGCTGGTAGCGATGTGATCTAGTTGGGTTCAACGTTGGGACGGATTTTGGAGGGTCGTCAGGTCAAAAGATTCTTTTCCTTATGCCTTAAGTTAGTGTTTGCTAGAAATAGGTGGTTATCTGAGCATACTTGTAACAGACGGTTGCCATTGTCTGTTCTCTGAGCCGCGACACCATAACATCCACCTAGGTATCTTTCCTGCTCACTTAGTCTACCTACTTGAGCACTAAAGCCACCAGCCATTATTACTACATCAGAGCGCCTAGCTTTTTGGAGGAGTTCGGAAAGCGACTATCTACTGGGATCCAGTCTAAGAGAGCCACTTCTGCCGTAGAACTCAATGCACTATCGAGGCCACGCGAAGCAGCAGTCGGGTTTCAAAATACACGATGCGACGGTTCTTTATCTTAACAAGGTGAAGTCAAATAAAGAACCGTCTCGATTTACGCTACGCGTTAGGGTTCGTGTAACTAGTAGTTAGAAATGTTGGGTGACACAGATCAAAATAGGCTATAATAGCGCGAATGCATTCAATCTATCATACTCTAAGATCTTCAGTTTCAGTATTCTTTTTATACATAGTTCAATGGTTAGCCGTTTCAGTTATTATTGCGATCACATTATTTCGGTTTGTATTGCTAGATATTTTGTTAATTTAATCCAGCCATGATTATGTGGTGGCAACTTAAGTCAACATATAAATTTGTGTTAGACTGTACGTTGATTACAACTAACTGAAATGATCTTTTCAAATCAATTCCTAGTTTAATAACTATTTATTTAATTACTTATTTTCGTATAGTAATCTAACAATCTTTTTTTTATAAACAATTTCAATTTCTCTCAGAATCAAAACATAAAAAATGGTCAACACAAAGAATCTCTTCCTACTACTACTACTACTACTACATGTGATAATCCAACGGATTTAAGCGCAACCACAAATATCACCACCACTGATTTGTCAATAAGTCGAAAACATCGACACACAGATCAATTATCTATATCGCCTATATCATCAATATCCAGTGCATTATCACCACCATTCTGGGCATCGAAATGTTCTCGATCTCCAGTTGAAGGTGGTGAAGAAGAAAATGGACAAACCGATAAACATGAACAAATCACTACTGTGAACAATCATTTTTTCGTAAATCCAACCAACTTTTATGCAATGCAATCCTAGATTTTATTATATTCCTATTATTATTATTATTATTATAACAATTATGATTTACTACCATTACTGCTCTTTCCCTTTTTATTTCAATTAAAAAAAATATGGTACATCATTTTAAAAGAAAACAGATTAAGACAAACAAACAAACAAACCCCATAGATCTGATTGAACAAACATTTTTTTTCTTTTTTTTTTGGTTCTTCAAATAAAAACAAACCAACCTAATTTATAAAATTGCATACACACGGCAATGTTATATAATAATAAAACATAACTAGAGTTAAATATTATTATTATTATTGTTACTATTATTGTTATTTCTATTATGTACACGAATCATTCATTCTTCAATATGAGAAAAATGTTTTTAGCAAGAGAAATGAGTTGGTTCTTTTTTTATTTTATTTTATTTTTAAAATTGTTTGTATGATAGAAATAATATAAAGATAAACATAAAATACAACAATGAATTAATACATGTTTATCAGAAAAAAATGTACATATAATAAATTAGTAGTAGTAGTAGTAATAATAATAATGATAATAGTAATAGTAATACACAATATTGACAGAGTTAAATGCTTACATATCAAAATCTATACGTTTTGCAGTAAATCCACTTGGTCCAACTAGTGTGACTGTACGTGGTGTTGAACTTGTACCTGAAGTGACTGTAAATCCAGATGGATTAGCAACATATGTAGTAGTTGTACTGCCACCACCTGCAGGACGTTTCAAACCCATTGTTAAATTGGCCATTGAAGCACGACGTTCAGCAGAGCTTATCATTAGATTGACATCTTGTAAATCTTTACCAGTACTACGACCAATTGTAAAAATAACTTTTTTCGGTGATAAATTTACTTGTTGTTTAACTGGACTGATAAATATATTACGATTACTGGCTAAACGTCTACAATTTATAAACAATAATGGAAAACTAGTAAGCACAAAGTAACAATAATCTTAATAATAGACATAGAAAAAAAGTGTTAAGATAGATGGTTAGTTTCGAATGTAAAATAATCCTTTCTCACTGGTTTAAAATGCAATAAATGACAAGTAACTATCTACATCTTCTAATATTTCGGTATCGATATTAGTATACCTGGCTCCAAGCTATGGTTAGTGATACAGTCAGGTTGTTTGAACTGAAGTAGGTGGAGCGGAATTCAAATTGTTAACTTAGTTGAACACTCTAACCACACTAAAACAAAGCTTCATTTTTTGAAAATGGATTTCAAGAAATTAGCTATAGTCGAAATAATAAATCTCATTTATGTAAAAAAAATGCATAGCATAGACGGAGGCAATATTTAGTGCAATTAATATTTACTATGCAAATAGTAAGGCATTGAGTGTAACACTCGCTTCATAAAAATTCAACATACGTCGCATAGAAAGAAGCCAGATGAGCTTAATGTCCCACTAGTAGCGTACTACTTTCATGGAAATTCAGTAGCAATGAGCAATGCTAAAATTAAATTCAACTTTAACTAGTAGTATTTTAAAATTTTATGCGATAATAGGGATATGCTGAATTTCATTTATCTTTTATGATACTGCCTTGATGTTCTAGTAGTCTTGAAAATAATTATTAATTTAGTAAAGATTAGTTTGTTGAACACACAAGTAAATAACAAGTACAATGTGAACAACTGCTGTAGTACAGTGTCAAGACACTTACTTAGCTTGCATATCTCCTGATGTAGCTGTTGTATCAAGACCCAAATTGATTGCCGCAGCAGAATTTGAAGCTAAATTATTTACTTGTATAGGCATTGGAGATAATGATGGATGAAGTGTCCATTGATTTAATACACTGTTATTATCGGTTGATAATGAATCAGCGCCTAATGTATGATGATGTCCTGTACGACTATTAGGATCTGTTTCATTGTATGTGGAGCGTACAGCGGCTGCTTTTTTAATGAAATCTTTCATTTGTGGTAAGAAAATAAAATTGTAAAATCGAGACAAATCACCGCGTTCTTCCGTATTGCCACGACCATAAGAAACTCGATTGATGAGTACACGACGATATATATCTCGATAAGATTGAGGTTGTGTTCTATACACCTATGAATCGTGTAGGAAAATAAAGATGTACGCATGATAAGTCATGTAGCAATCATGAATACCATGATTTTAAACTCGCAGGGTGTCTCAATGCTCCGAAGTCTATTGAATAGACTCATACAAATATGTAAACATATGAATAGACATCTTATTCGGGAACATGTCAGCTGGATATACTTGCAGTTGATGTTCAGTCCGAAACTCGAACCCAGTGCCATTTGCTTTAAATGCCTTCCCATTATCCACTTAGCTACTGAGTTCAGTTAGCCACTCCCATGTGTCTACATAGCTAATCAAGATTGATCACATTTCAACGATGGAACAATTCAAAACTACTTCAAAACGAATTATTTAAGTAATCAACTGATAATAAAATAATACAATGATGCAGTGAAGTAGCTGGGTACAGATTCATGAGCTTGATTTGTTGTTAACTGACTTAGTCTAGCTATATATGAAGTTGATATGTTTTGCATTGAATTAGGTAATAAGTCTACAATTGATGCAAAATCTCAACGTATGCGATGCAAAACTTCTTCAAATGTTTGTACTACTACTATCTATCAATATCAAAAACGAAAAAGCTAGCCTTTTATATTTATCGTTTCCAAAGGATTTCAGAACTTGACAAGAAGGAGAAATTAGATATTATTTACCAAGGTATAAGTCAGTCAGTCAGATGCAACGTAAGTACATCAGTTCATGTCGCCATATCACATCACCACAGAGATATAATTGTCAATTCAAATCCAATAGTAGAAGAGGTAGTAAAGGTATCAGAGTAATCGGAGAGGTTCGGACTGGAAGATATTATTCAAGAAGTACGATTCATTGAGAAAAGTTTAGTAAGTCAAAACCAGAGGGGTTGAAGAATCCAGAAGATTAGGATTTGAGAGAACACAAAGAATAAATGCACCGGCGCCATTGCGAACGATTTTGAGCCATGTCATTCAGGGTATCTAACCATCGATTAGTATCATCTCGCGGACCCCAACCAGGTAGTCGACAACTACCGACATGACTCAGTTCACTAGTCAATGACTTCATGGATTTGTGTCATGTTTTGGTCTGACCGCCCCTAACTTTCTTCCAACCTATACCTACACTACAAAACAAAGGTCGTCAAGGCAGTCGGTGGTTGGGCATACGCAACACATGTCCCAACCACCTCAACTGATGAAGTTTCATTACTTCATCTATTGATCTGCCATTCTTACCTAGCACCCGTTTTCTAATAACAGCGTTGCTCATTCGGATGTCCCAGGATATACGAGCAATGCTTCGAAGGCACCTATGACCAAGGTATAAATATGAAGCAGAATTTGAATCCAAAACACATTAGCTCGTAAGAAGCCTGTTCTACGTTTGGTGTCAAACTTCTACATGAGCATTAAGAATGCAACACACAGCTACCTCCTATAAGAGAAGAATATAGGATGCAAGTTCTAACCTGTCATTAAATGGTTATAAACTACCCCATACTTACAATACTGACCTAGGATGATGGACTTGTTTTTCATCTATTAACTTTGTAGTTTGTCAATAAAATTCATCTACAATCGGCAACATACAAGATAGTTTATCATAATCATTAACAAATATTTAAAATCCAACTCTGAACTACTACTACTACTACTTACTTGAACTATATCAACAAATGTAAGCGGACGATAGAGAACAAGTTTACATATACCATAAAGACAACACAATATAATTTGATCTAAACAACGATCTCGAAGTAATTCCGTTTCATGCACAATCACTTGCTCTATACATGTCCAAATTTTTGCCATAAGTTCACGAGTAAGATTTAAACGTTCACATAAATCTCTTAAACGTAAACTGGCTACTTGATATGTTTGTCGGAAAAATATAGCAATTGAATCATGTCGAGTAGGGAAATAATTCATTATATTTCCTGAACCAGATGATACAGGCGCAACAACAGTACTACTAGTGTTAACTGTAGTACTGACTGTAGTAGTCACAGTAATTGCAGAGTTAACAATATAATCATCAACTAATTGTTCTGTTATTGGTTTCACATCGATATTCGCATTATCCTGATTGATACCAACATCATCGGATGCTCCCGAGAAGACCGGAATCTATATTGACTGATTCAGTAGCTCCACTTGCAAGTAGTTGAGCTGCTGCTTGAGCAGATTCATCGTCAACTCCAGATGAAAGTAGTCGATAGATAGCAGTTTGGTTGGTTGGAAATTCAATATTTTGTTGTCGACTAATTGGTACTTTAGAAGTGATACTACCTGTAAGACGAGGTTGTTTAGCATAAGAACTTGGAGAGAGTTTTATGTTTTTGGCAGATATTACATTGGAGGTTAACAATTTACGACCAGGAGATATAGTACTTGTAGTTCGTGTGTAACAATCATTAGAACCCTGTGTATTAAGGGAAAAATTAAATCATATCAGAAAATGTAATCAATGATCAGTAAACAAAATTATCATGAATAACTGATGAACTTATTCAATTTTCTTGAACATACAAAAGGAAGTCTAATTTTTCTATTCAAAATAAGTTAATAGTTAACGCAACCACAAATATAGTCAGTCAGTTAGTTACAACGTAGAACTTCGTATGTACGTACGCACGTACAGTTAATAGTTCACTTTCAATGGAATAATGTATAAATCATCAACGCAAAAATTATGTAATAATTAATTTATTTTAAAGTAGCTTCACCTTATAAAAAGGATTATGTACTAAATATTGAGTTGCAAGAGGGTCAGTGATGTTTAACTAAATTGAGGTAGATGAAGTGAGATTTGAACCTGTGACCTACTGCTCGTTGAGTACTTCAGCCAGTAAGCCAATGTTCCAGAAAAATCTAAACAAATACCTGTATTCTAAATTGTTTAAATGATGTACGTGCGTACATCAGCTCAGGTCGCCATACCACATTAGCATAGAGACACAACTGTCAGTTCAAATCAAACAGTGGTAGCGATAATACAAGTATTAGCAGTAATGGAGATTAGGGTTCGAAGATATTATTCAAGTATAATTCAGTGGGATGACTTTAAGAAGAGAAAGATAGAGATGAGGAATTCAGATGATTAGAATTTGAGAACACAAAGAGTGGATGCATCTGCGCTATCGCAAACGATTTTGAGCTATATCGTTCAGGGTCTCTAACCGTTGGTGACTTTCATCTCACGGACACCAACCAGGTAGCCTACTATCAACATGACTCAGTCCACTTGTCAGTGACTTCATGGGTTTGTGGCATAAATTGTGTGGCAAAGATAGTTTATCAATCGGAAACAATCAACAACAAACAGGAAACATAAATCAATCAAACAGCAATATGTACCACAAGTTTATCGTCACCGACACATTATCCTACAGTTAGTCAGTAGTAGCAAACTTTATGACAACATATTTCAGTTGACGAAAATCTCTTTACAACACTAACATACATATTAACTAAGTAAATTAAGACAATTAATGAAACGAAAAAAAGGTATAAGTAAAACTATATGGAAATAAATTTTGGTTATTGGACACATAAAATTAACATGTGAAAATAATTATTATTCCAAAGGTAGTAAAATTTGAAGTTAAACAAACACAGATAAACACAATAATAGTAATAATTTGACTCATACACCCGATACTTGGATACGAATCACCGCTTAAGTGTGAAGGCTAATAATATTACTCAACTGCTCAAACAGAAGTAAATGGAGTGAGGAGTTCGAAGATGAAACTTATTACTAGACTACCACCAATCCACATACACATCACATTTGTCATCATATAATAATGAATACTTCTTACTTGATCAAGTTTTTCAGGCGATATAACTTCTTCAATAGATGGAGCTCGTCCTGTGGCTTTAAGTACTGACCATATTGAAGATTTTGTACGCCATGCATATGAATCTAGAATATATTCAACAACTTGATTCATATATTTAACAATTTCACGCGGCAAATCTATGTTACGAACTAATACTTCGACGACCTATTAGAGAAAAAAATAATACATTTCATCGTTAACATAGGCAAAGAACAAACAGTAACAAGTGGCGTCTTTGACAAAAAAAACCCGCAAAAATTCAAGCCGCTACATTCAAAAAATAAAGTAGATTATAAGGGGCCTTGCTACTCCTTGCTACTCTAATGCAGCCATGTAACTTCGATAAGATATGAGAAAACCTGTTTCACTTACTGATTTAGCTTGTTATAGGATTTACCAGGAACTACTACGGTTGTCGGTTATTTGAACTGTTTTGCGACATTTCACCTAATAATTCTATCACCTGATCTAAAAGGTTATATGAATCATTGCTTAGTCTGCTCTGATAACAGGTTTCATCATCCACAACTGTACTTTTCAGGATATTTTTATCACAAAGTTTATAAAGAATTAGCAAATCCTAACAACTTTTCATTGTATTTTTCTTCTAGCTTAGATTATGCTCTATTATTGTTTGTGGTTGTTACGTATATTTTCAAACAAATTTAGGTAGTGCTTCTACTTGTTCACGAAAAGCACCTAACTGCGTTACAAGACAAGACCTCACTTGGAACCCTCAGGGAAAAAGGAAAAGAGGAAGGCCAACGAACACATTACGCCGAGAAATAGAGAAAGACATGACAAGAATGAACAAAAATTGGACAGAATTGGAAAGGGAAGTCCAGGACAGAGTTGGTTGAAGAAAACTGGTGGGCTGCCTATGCTCCATTGGGGGTAACAGGAGAAAATAATAATAATAATAATCTACTTGATGGCTGATTTTGATCGATAATCGTTAAACAATAATCACTAAAAAAAAGACAACAGAGCTGTGTTTAGTTCCTTTAATGGTTAACCTATCGCACTACTAAAAAAAAACTGTTCATATAATGAAAATGTTTTTATTTCTTATGTGCAATTCACTAATATCCAATGAACTATGAATATCTGTTGGTACTTACTTTAAAAAATTGAACAGAGTCAAGATTCAACGCTTCAAGTATCCATGGAAAATGATGACTAGGTGGATCACAGCATAACATAACTATTTCCATGCAACAAATAAACAAAGCCCGATGAAATGTATCTTGCGCTAATAGTGTGGTAAGATCAGGAGAAGTACGATGTGTTTGATTCACGTTGTTTGCAGTGGATGAGGAGAGTGGAGTAGTAGTAGTAGTAGTAGTAGTAGTGGTAGTGTTAGGATTAGAAGTAGCTAATCTTTTCTCAATTCTACGAATTTCATCCATGAGAATATTTTCTAAAGCCATATAATACAATGGATAACATAATTGTAATCGTTGTTGTGCAGCTGAAATAGCTAAACTATTAGCTGTTGTTGTTGTAGGTGTAATTGTTACACCACTAGTACTATTGGTTGATTTTAATCCAGCATAAGCTCGTTGAAATTGTTCACCTAAATCATTTAATCTTTCATGAATTGTGGAAAGTGGCGATGTGGAACAATGTGTATCGATAAGATTGACTAATGAATCACTTGGCTCTTTGTTTCGACCGTTTAATAAAATCTGTACAGAAAATAAAAAATGAATATCTATCTGAGATTCTATAATCGGTTCTTCTTGTTTATAATAACATTGAATTTAGAAGTTGAACTAATATGGTATGTATAAACAAACAAGTACTACAGAAATATATATAAATAAAAAAATATAAACTAGCTGATAAAAAAAAACTCTATGCTACCGACTTAAGTTAAATAGTTGTTTAAGAAAATAAGACAGTTTTTAAGTAATATGTACCTTTTGAAAGTAGTAATGCTTTTCTGATAATATGCTTTTACTTGTTGTATACTTTATATATGGTAGTTACTGGTTAATGCGATTAGTTTAAGTTTATAAACCATATTGGTCTATAACTGATTACAATACGACAGATAAGAGAGAAAAGAGAAAAGCTTATCTCTCCTCTCTCATTGCCATCTGTTTCCTAAAACTTTTAACAAAAAAAACTATGCTACTTGCCAAACAAGTACACAAGTGTGTGCGCTGCATTGAAATGCTAACAATTCTACTAAGCAATCACTCGAACTATAATAAATGCGGCCAGATTAACGAATCAACTTCAAAACACTGCGTTTACAAAACGAAATGTGAAATAGAGTTTATGTACTATTATCTGATTATACTACTTATAAATATATTGTTTGTAAGTAACTATTATTGCATATTGGTCTCTAATACTAATTTCCCACTGACAACTTAATGTACATTGGCTCCTCAAATTTAGACAAGAAAAAGTGATTGCACAGTTATCAGCACAATAGCTTGTTGAAACTTGATCAATGTTTTTTAATTCAGATGTCACTATATTTGTGCATTCAGAACAATGTACCACCCCTCCGACAGACAAATAATTCCTTAAGAAAACTATTTGTGAGATGCCAACTCACCATTCAGACACAATCTGAGATGTTAACATGGCACTATTTGAGCTGCGATTGTGGAATAAATAGCGTGGTAAATCACAAGAATTAAAAAATCTTTTCTACTATTTTTTTCTCTGAGCTACGCATGTACTATTCTTGCGGTCAATGTATTTACATGTAACAACACCACTAACACAAGAGTTTTAATAGAATCATTACACCTAACTTATCATTAGTGAGACATTTTTTCAATTATAACGATAATGATTGCTCCAAGAATTGTATAATTAGTTATTATTGTGTTAGGATGGATATAAAAGCCAATCATTTGTGGGATAATTACCCTTTTAGTTATAATGACCTCTGATTATCACGCCATAACGAGTTCAGATTTAAGTTTGAACATGTTTAAAGCCACGGAAAATTAGTTTTTTTTAAAATGTTTCTATCACTAGAAGCACACTAAAAAGATTTGAGGAGGCAGCATATTTCCATTAAACAGTTCGAAATTTCTAGTTTTATCGCAATCGGAAACCGTGTGTTAAGTTTGTGTTGGAGAGCTACAAGAAACGCAAATTATCCTCAAAAAAGAAGCTTGACAATTTCATACGGCTGATTCTCCCAGGTTCAGTATTTATCTTTGCCCAGAAAACAGATAGATACTGGAAAATAATTCGTTCGAGTGTGAATCAAAATCATGAATGTAACTTATTGGAGGCTCATGACAATAATTCATGGATGCGGAAGCTAACCGAATCAGATTCCGAAACAGTTAAAGCCTCTGTCAATATCAGCTACGGTTGCTTTCAATGTGGTACACTATGCGTACTCCTCATTTTGGGGGCGTTTATATCTACGGGACGTGTTCGAATCAAGGTATAAAGCATCTTTTCCAGATAATCTCCCAAAACAAACCGATCTAAATAAATGGGACACAGGATAATATGAAAAGCTTATAAGTCATATGATTTCGCTAGGAGGATGCAGTGAAAACATGTACTAAATGACGATAAAGAATTGCAATATTAATTTTTTCGCAAAGGAATTTAACATATCATTATCTCAATGTTGTTGGTTTGGACGGCACTTATAAAACTAACAACAAGAACTTATTCCTGCATAAAATTGTTGCACTAAACAAGAATTTAACGGCGATATCAATTTTCGCTCTTATCAGTAGAGGAACATCTACTTAGGTAGTTAACTGAGTTTCTCTAAATTCTTCAAGCAATCAACAGGCAACAGAAGTGTGGCAGAAAATGTGACAGATGATTGATTTGCCGGCCGTTAGTGCTGTTAAACCTCTTAACCACTGTGAAATCATTACCTCCTACAGCTACATTTACAACAACAGTTTTCTACAAAATATATTGAATTATATTATTATTTTAGAACATTATTTTTAGATCAATAATTTTTTGGAAACATCATACAAACTGTTGTTTAACGAAATGTCATAAAAGCTAAACAAATCATTTTGCTGTTTACATTAGAATAAGTAATTAAGGCAACTTTGTTAAAAAATATTGTGGCCTAACACCTTTAGAGCTGCTAAGCACCTGTTCATGAAACAAAATTATAAATACTCTGGTAAAAATACTAAATACATCAGAATCATTTATAGGCAATGCAGAATCTGGTACATATGTACACTGACTGCAGCCTCCATACAACATTAGCAGCACAGTGAGTTGTCTGATTGGCATTAGCAGTAATTTTTAATGATAGTAGAAAAGATTAAGAATAGAAGATATAATTCAAGAAATATAGATTTTTGGGATAAAGAAAGGAGAAAGTTTAAAATAATTAAGAAACCTTAGATTCAAGGGAAGACAAATAATGGATACACTCATACTATTCACAGAAATTCTGAGCCATTCCAAGCAGTTTTTAACCTCTAGTTACGATAATCACATGAACCTAAACAAGGTTCTATGCATCTTTCAGAATGGTTCAGATCAACAGTCAATAACTATAAGTACTGATGCAACGTTTTAATTTGGCCGTCCCAATTTTTCTTACAGCACACTGCTACAGTAACAAACGTTGCCCGCAGAGGTAGGCCGTGGTTTGGCGTATGTGACACAACATAACCACTTTTCAGTAAATGAAAATTCACTGCCTCGTTAATCTCAATTTTCAGTCCCAAAATATACGAGAAATATTTTGAAGACACCTGAAACTAAAAACTAGTATTCTATGAAAATTCCCTACTTTTAAAAACCACTCTTTATAGCAATCAAAGAAAACAGAACGAACTGCCGCTTGGTACAATTGGCCTTTAATTGAAAGATGAAAAAATGTAAAAATGTCTCAATATTTAGTTAATATAAACTAAACTAACTTGTAATTGATTGAGATTTTGACTCCGAGCTTCAGGATTGCTAAAATTAACACCTCCGTTGAGACGACTAATAGCACCAGCATTTGCATTTCCACGCCGTGTGGTCTCAGTGAAACCTCCAAAACCCGAGTTACTAACTTCCTTTGGACACAAAAACAAGAAATGAAATAAAACGAGTTAAAAATCACTATTTCATGAATCGAAAATTGGTTAACGCTAATAAAATGTATTATACTGGGGGGACCAACGGTCAATAAATATTTGAAAAAATAGAACATCTGATAGACAGAAAGCATTTTACTTATGTGTTACAGTTGGTGTAGGTAGACAAAAAGCTTATAGAAGGTGCTACTTAAACTCAATTTAGAATGAAACATCGTTCAATCGACTGATTAGTTATCAATAAATAAGTTTTGTCTGTGTTAATTTTCACTTCACAAGATGAAATCATATCTTATCGTCTAGTTCAGTTAAAAAAATGCTCACCACAAATATCATACAAATCGTAACACGTTGTTTAACGGAAGTAAAAAAATGATATCACAGATTAAAAAAAAGTGATTAGCTTTACAAATAATGAGATGTGACACAGTTAAGTTAGATGAATACCCAGAATTGAGAATTGAATACATCAAGACATCCATGGTATGAAAAAATAGGATTACTTGTTACGAAATTTCCAAACTGTTACATTTTTCAACTCCAAGTGGTACAATTATCTATGGATTCCATCTTGAACCTGTTTCGTGTATTAATTTGAAGAAGCAGTCTTACATATAATAGATGTGTCCAGAAGTAAAATCCAGTACGTGCAATTCGTCCTACTCGAGACTCGTCAGCTGAGTGTACCTGTATTCCATAATTGGTGTTCACTTCGCGACTCCAACCCAGAACATCCAGATGACGAGTCTCCAACAGGACGAAACGGGCGTTCTAGATTTCACAACTAGCCACGCTCCTATCCTATTGAAACTGTCATTAGGAGTTTATCTAGATAATCCACACAGGATACAGATATGGCAACCAGAAACTATTCAAATTCAAATCAAAATATCAACAACAGGGCGACCTAAACTATTACAAATTAAATCAAGTATTAGTTTAGTATTATTACTAGCAGTAGGCGTCAAAAATCGATCAACTGTACAAGTGTAAAAAAAACGATCAAAATATAACATTAGGACTAAAAAGGCTGTAATGTCAACCAACGAAAAAACAAAGCATGTTTACGTAATGTAAGCTATGAGTGAGAGTTATGAAATAGAGTAATAAATGTTTTTATCATTGAAGTAATTTGCTTAGGATATGTATATATTAACAGACACTGAATCTTCGTATCGAAAGAAAAACCGTTGGGGACATTAGACCCCCAGAACTCACTTGAAAAAGGCCCCAATTTCGACTTTTTTATGTTTTCGCGCATAAGTCACTTAGTTGACCTTCAGCTCACATTTCACACTCGGAAAATCCTTGACTGTCATTGGTTGATGGACTATTTCAGTATGCTATTTTGTGGATCCCCAAAAGGGCGTTGCTATCATTGTATAAATAAACTTGATTTGTGTGCTTAGCAAACTTGTATTTTCTGGGTACTTGTAGAATACACTTTCTACACCTTATCAAAACTTCTTGATCTAGTTAGCCGGGCCGGGGACAAACGGATTAGAGTAGATTATCGTGTTACTGTATTATTGCTTTCGTCCCGTTACCGAGTAAGTTGAGCTCATAAGAACATTCAAACATATCAAAAATTCAAACCTTTACATATACAAGAAGTTGAAAGATTATATTAGAAACAAACCAAAAATAAATAAGTAAACTTACGACCATATACCGGCGAGCAGATGGTGTTAGACCAACAGGTAAATGAAAATCAGACTGAACAGTACTTTCTCCGATTGATCCAATCTCTTCTGATGCATTTGGACTCAGATAAATACGTTCATCAAAGTCTCCCGTTCCAATAATATATTCTTCATAGTTATTGTTTAAATTTTGAACTGTTATTTCGAAATTTTCTTGTTCCAATAAACTACCAAGGACTGAAGGGTGAAGTTTGATCAAATCCTTTAAAAAAAACATATTACAAACGCCTGTATTTATTATACAATACATTTTGAAAACGTATTTCTAGGACTTAACAGTTGACATGGAAAATATTACATCAATAAAATTGTAGATTAGACATTTTCACTTAGGTGAAAGCCAATCTGAATCTTCAAAGAAACAACACAAACAAATGATTCCAGCTTAGAATATAATACTGGTATAGAATGTTTTACGTAAATGGTAATTATCTCAGACAAAATGTCGACGCAACATAACAATCAATTACTAGGCACCATTCAAACCGACCTTTTTTCTCAATGGAGCGAATTTTGAGGCAACCTACTATTTCCAGATAAAAAATTTTATCAAGGTATATACACATTATAATCTTCAGAAAAATGATAAACTAACAAAATATACTACTAAGCAACACCCTCAGTATTAAGTAGTATGGAAGATTTGGTTGAATTTGTTAGAATATATTACTGATGAGCAGGACAATAGGCAAGTTAAACAGACGCTCAGTGTTCGGAATACCGGTATAGAGATTTGTACAATATAAATGTGCCACACATGAGCAACTAGCTTTGTTGCACAATATTTTATCTTTTATTTCATTAGTTAGTCGTAAAATAAGGACCCTCTAATTGGCCAGTTTGTTTTCTATATGCCCAGCCATAGTGAACTATACATATAAAAGCCAAGATAGTCTTTTGACGTCGAACAACATCGAATGCGTTATTCCAGTGGACCTAACAAGTACACTAATAAAATCCTAAAATTAACATAAGAGGTATGATAAATATTCATTTTGTGTAGTCAAATATTGCATAACAAAAATATCCTTAGATGTTGATTTTAATATTATAAGTTATTATTAAAGATCAGAATATGCTCAACAAGGGGCAATGCCTTAACTTGAGAGCAAATCTAATTACACTGTAATGGACATAAGGAAAAGCGCTAACATGTGTGTACAATAACTTAATATGAAGTTCCCTAAAATCAACGATTTATACGCTTGTGACATCATTAAAAATTTAGCTTGCGAAAAAAATAGCTATGCATCTGTAATACCCATTATTAAGTTGAAAATACAGGCTCGATGAATACATTAACAATTATTCTATGACATATCAAAGAACTAGAAATAAAAGACACTTCTTGCAACAAACAGTGGTCGAAATGGAAGCGATCAAGATCATCTAAAACCCTGAAATGATTGTCGTAAGAAGCTTTCAAGTCAAACACCAGAATACCTCAATATGAGTTTCTCAATGATATAGATCTTTTGTGTGGGACTATTTAATGAATATTAAATGTACAAACAAATACAAATGAGGATCTTTCTGAGATAAACAGATTATGAACTGTACGATTACTGGTTTGTGTGGGTGATATAAAAATTTCCAGATTATTGCATACTGGATCTAACTCAAAAAAGATATAATTGTCAATTATATCTCAGTGTTAACGTGATATGGCAACAGCAATATAACTATGTAGTTTGGCCCCTCGCTTGAAGAATGTAAGGCCATTAGAAATAACTTTCAACGTAGTGAATATTGAAATCTATACTCCATGCACACGATATACTTAGTAAACTGCATTAATCCAAACGTAATAAGATACGTAACACAAAAGTATTTGTTATTTCATGCAATTAAATGACTGTCATATTTACACATCAGGTTATATGATGTACTGATTGCCTAGAATGTGTATATATTTAAAATAATGTATCCAGCGTAATCTAAAAGCATTTACAATCGCTTAATTACGCAACCGTAATTGAAATCGACTCTCTAAGATCAGTATACATTACAAAGAAACTTGGGACAAGTAACACCAACCTTTTCAATTAACCTCAGCATAAATGGTCGAAAAAAGTGTTCTTTTACAGTTTTACACTCCACATAATTAACATCATTATCTTCGCATATTGGACGTAGCATACAAGTTGGTTCATCATGAGGTGGACACCAAGTTTTATTTTGAGCAACTGAAGTTAGAAAATCTCGAGGTAAACCATTCTGTTCCATATTGATCAAATCACGTCTTCTCGAAAGCATAACTGCGCCAAGAGTCCAATCTAGACAACAGGCTAGTAAGTGGTAGGAATTGACTAAATCATCAGTGACTGCAGGAAAACTTGCTCGAGACTTGATGAATAACAGCCATGTAAACCTAAATAAATCAGAACCCGTTGGGCGCACTGAAATGAAAACATAAATAAAGGACTGATAAAAACAATTTTATATTTACATTTTAATCATTTGAAATCATCAAATGATTTTCTCATAATGTCTAACGTCAGATTCTAAAAAACGCGATGAGAATATCAGTTAGCGTTGGTACATAACATAAACAATGCCATAAGACATCAATAGAAAGTGAAATTTGTAAAAAGATAGTGATATTGATAGAAGAAAAGATAAAGGGGAACAAGTCAAGAAAAATACAAAGCAATAGTCAAAACAAATAGAACCCAATTAAGTGATTTAAGCCTACGAAATATTTATCCCAATCTACTAGAATCACATCGCCTACTGTATATGAATTTTCAACATTTTAATAGGATGTGAAATTAAGAAAATTTCTCACAAGTTATTCATCATTGACAAGCGAATTTATAGAAAACGCAAAATGTTTGAAGTGACAAGTAGATGTTTCTCATGGACGTCCATCATCACCTATAAGTTAACTGATATACACATGCTGATGAGTCTAATTTCAACTTTACCAAGGTCTATTTTAAGAATTAATTGGCTAGGAACACATATGATAAGGTTCTAATAGACGATGACGAGAATTTAGAGGAAACTTCGGATGAACTGAACGAATTTGACGATGCTGTTTGTAACTGCCCAAATACTATTCTGCTGTGATTTAGTTTGTAAATGGGTGTGCAGTGGGTTTGTGAGTGAACAACATTAAAAGTAGTAGTAAAGAGGCTGTGAAGTTGTACCAACATGACTAGGTTATAAATTACTAAGTGTGACGTTTACTAAGTTATTGTAGTTTGAAAGATCACGAGTGCAGAATAATCACGTGATATAAAAGTAACATGGCCAGATTAAAATGTAGTACCAATTTATGAGACTGCAGATTATTTATGGGCAGCATTTAATGATACGTAAATTTATCAAGTGAAGCCCTTAAAATGATAAAAATGAACTGTTGTAGTCTATTTATCAGCCAAAGTAGTTTCTGTAACTAGGGGGCGGCCAGACCAAAACATGGCAGAAATCCATGAAGTCATTGACAAATGGACTGAGTCATGTCACTAGGTGTCGACTACCTGTTTGGGGTCCGCGAGATGATAATAATCGATGGTTAGCGACCCCGAATGACATGGCTCAAAACCGTTTGCAATGGCGCAGGTGTATTCATTCTTTGTGTTCTCTCATATCCGAAACTTTTTAATTCTTCATTACTTTATCCTTATCTTTTTAAATCCATTTTACTAGATTCTACTTCTTGAATAATATCTTTTAATTTTAACCTTTTCGACTACTGCTAATACCTTTACTACCTCTAATACTATTGGATTTGAATTGACAATTACATCTCTGTGCTGATATGGTATGGCAACATGAACTGATGTACGTACGCACGTACTTCTACGTTGCTATTGATTGATAGCTTTTCTATTCAAAGTTCTGACTATTTTAATACTGTTAATTCCTTTTAGCAAATGTAGTCTATAAAAGTAGGTGTAGACTATGGGAATACAACAAGAAAGATTTTCACAACCACTGTTTAAGTATTTTTAGAAAGGCATAGGATATGTATAGCCACAGCTGAGTAGTGCTAAAGTTAGACACAAGGTAATCAACAAAACCAAAAAGTCAATTAATAAAATTTTGAATCTTAATCTACTGAGGTGGTTAGGACATGTGTTACTTATGCCTACATATCGCTTTCCTACACAAGCGACGTCAGCAGTCATAGAGGAAAGGAATCGATCACAACCGCTTGGGCGTAGTCATGGTCCTAAATCCCGACATTCCTCCATGCAAACTGTTCATCCTTTACGAATCATGCTCTCAACTTTTATTTACCATCACTAATAAAACCACCGTCATTGATGGATGGAGGATAGGTTTTTCTGATACTGTTCCCAAATGCCTTGGCACGACCGAGAGTGAGGAGAATTTGCTGACCCTCTCGAAATTCCCACGCGTGTATAGCCTCTGTCAGTGATGTCCTGCTCACTGCCTCCTTATGGCGGGGTGCTTTTTACAGAATCGAGCGGACAAAAAGCGAATTTCCGGAGCTCCAAGCGGGTTAGTGGTTACGAAGGATCAATCTAAGGAGGTTGCAAAACACTCATTCCAAACAAACGGCGCACATCGGCTCCAGGATCCTCGGGGGTCAAATGGCGTACGCACCTAATGTTGTTCACTTGCTACCTTGGGACTGCAACTTCTGATACTGCCCCAATGCCTTGTGAATTAAAACTGTGGGTCAAAGGCCTAGGAAATGGTACCCTGAGAAGACCACCTGCTTTGATCTGGGAACCTCGACAGTATCACAATCTACTCGAAATTCGGCAATGTGCGGTGAATAAATACTTGGGTCTCCTTTTAAATCAGTAATTGTGATTAAATAACTCAACTAAATCACCTGACTCATACTAAAATCATTTTAACTTTAGAAACGATGTGCTAAAGTGAAACTAGGGTTAATTACGCTTTTACATGCTATAACTTGAGGTACATAAACTAAAGGTTAAAGGTGCATCCATCTGTAGAAACCAGTATGTAACGAAAATTCAAAGCAGTAACACCTTGATGAGCTTCTAAAGGCTTACCAAGGAACACATATTCTAAATATGATTTGGTCGATGTTTCCGACTGAAGCATTAGGTAAGTAACGTTTCAACCTGCCACAAGTATCCTCAAAATCTTAGTGCACAGTCGCTATATCGATTTCTAAAGTTCATTTCGAAAACTTAGCCAAAAGGTCTGACAAATAAAAGCATTTCAAATGATATGAACTATAAGTAAACTTAGATTTAAAAACAAATTACTTTGACTGGTTTCATAATCAACGTCAGAAAACAATACGCCGAACGACCGACCAAAATTACGAAATATCACCGAGGAAACAGAAAACTGACGTTCAAGCAGCTCAATGCGATCTCTCATATCATCCAACATGTCAGTCATGTCTGCCCATTTCCTAATACGATGAAAAAACTATGCAGTGTGATTAGTAAGTGCAACATACCTGGACCATGCTCATTTTGGCTGCAGACAACAATCGTGACAAGGATACATAAGTATTATCTACATGTCCAGAAATTTCGTCTGACAGACAACGGCGGCAACATTCGTAAAGAGAGCAAACAAGCCACTGGATTTGATCACCATCAATCGAATAATTTGCCCAAACATCTTGCCAAATAAGAGGAATTTGGTTGGTTACCTTTATATTTTTCCCAAGCTTCCTCTCTTATAGAACCATCTATACACAAATCCTGGCAGAGGTCATCAAAACGCTTCTCGACTGGCTCCTCATATTCAAAATCTATATTATGCATCTCAAGAACACTCAATAGGCCAACCGCGCGAATTGAGGCGGTCGGTTTAAACAAATCTCTGAATTTTATTACCGTAATACAACATCATAGCTTCTCTTTAGTATGACATGTTTGCAATCCCAAATTGAATATTTATCCGACGTTTATACCGACTGTGGACAGAATCCACTTGTAATGAATTCATACTTACGCTACTTTCAACGTTCTAAAAACACTACCTACATCGTTCCCTTTACTGCTTTATTGGCCATTCCCTATGACTCGAGAGTTTAATAGTTTTTCATTACCCTCTTTTGGCCACTCTATACTAAATGGAACGAGTGGTCGCAATAATCCAGAAAGCTTCATTGGATTAGTTCTTCGCTTCACACCGTTGGTACAAAAGGCACAAGGAATATACAAACTCAGTGGATTGCAACTGTAGGAGTTATCCTAAGAGGAACTTCTAAGTAATATCTATTGTCATTCAATAAACGACTTCGACTTGAAACCGAATATTCTTTAGGCAGATTAGTATAATATCATTTCTGTTTTCATGTATAATTTTAGGTTTTGAATATAATCATCCGCTTTGTTTTTCATTATCTTTATACTCAGTTCTCGTTAGAGTTCACTATGAAGTGTGAAGAAGACTTTTTCTAGGTGAGTACAAATGTAGTTACCGAAGGAGATTATGAACCTTTCAGAGTTGAAATTATTCAGTGTTTTGGAGATTATACGCCTTATTACAGTTAGTCAACAACTGGAGTGGGTATTAAGAGCACAACGTAATATTGCAGCATGATTTTGTTCGTAAAGAGAGCTGAACTATTGTGATACTGCTATGCCAACTGAGTAAGTAGTTCCATCCAGCTAAATTCTCTAAAACTATCAGGATCAGCATCAATTTCAGATGCTAGGTGAACTACTTATATCAAGAAATTATGTATTGCTCTAGTGAAAATGCCTCAATAAAGCTTTGAAGTAGGAAGATGGTATTGCTTATTTCTTACTCTGAACGTAACTAACTTCTACCCAGCCAATTAAGATTTCAACTTCCAGTAACAGGTGCAAAAGTTTTAAATAGCAGGTTTTGGAACCACATAGCTAGTCTCAATCGGTCTAACTTTATTTTCACCAAAACTTTTAATGCCGTCTATCAACTGTTTCTTACTACAGGTAATTATTTTTCACCAACCACTAGATAAAGAAACCAATTTCCAGGTCAAAATAACTAGGCCATACTAAGGCAATGGCGTGTGTTCTGTAGCTATTGTCGAAAAGTACGGTTATTTTTATTGCCATCAGCGCCGAACACAACCTTCGTAAGCACATTTGGCGTTATTTGTAGTAGACCTACTAGGTTATGAAGCTGTGATGTTTGTATACGTTAGTGATTTCTTCTGGGAGAGTGCAAAACACACGTTCCTGCCATTCATCTTGGCAACCAAATGAAACCGTACGTTAGTGGCGAAATGTGCATCACTTCTAGAATCATAGTAAACCAATGTGAATGCCATATTCAGTTCCGTGTTTTGCTTCGTTTGGCTACAAAGTTCGTCAGAGATGTCGTCGCTAAGGATGATCTAAAATTGTTTCTTCTCACCAAATTTATAGTCTTCGTGTTGGTTCATATGACCTTAATTAAATAATCCTTGGTTCTTCACCGGTGAGGAATATGATTAGGTGACAGTATTGTAGGTTTCTATATTCTTAATGCCGAAAAGTAAAGTCATCGTCTTAAAATTAGTTTTTCCATAATTTCGTAATTTGCTAATGTCGCGATTAACGCCGGTTCTAAGGAACTAAGTCTGAAACTGTAAGGTGAGGTCAGATGATCATTATTAGTAATTGCTGGTTATTGTTTGATAGTCTTGCGTCTGCGGTTACTTGTGGCTACTACTGTCAAACAGTGGAGCTTAGTCTTTTGAAAGTAGAAATTCAAGGCCTTTTTTCCTGTTGATAGAATTTTATCCCAGAAACATTTGTAAGGAGATGCCCCTGCATTAATTGCCCGTTTGAAACATATAAATCTCCATTCATTAGTTACGCATGCTGAAAATACCACGTGTAGTTTAACTCAGTATTTCGTACAGTGTGGTTTTTCTTTGGGAATATTATTAGTAAATATCCATAATATATAAAAATGTTATTTATTTCACACATGAACCGAATAAACACTAACGAGCACCCACTGCTATGATTGTCTATAATATCAGTGTGAATCAACTACGTTCGCCACACAGTCAGCCTTAGTTATGCAAATTCATTGTCAACGAAGTGTAAAACCCTAAGGATTTCTTGTTGAACCGTTTACTAGGAACATAAAATTTTATATCATATGTCATGAAACCATTACCATTTCCCTTATTTAAAAGTTCAAACTGAAATGAATAAAAAGCAGAATGAACCAAGCAGTCATCTCAAGTCTGATGTGGTACACTATAAAAATTTGCATACGATTCCATTTTATTTTAAACCAGAAGTACAATATCTGGCAGTGATTATAGTCTTAAACATATGATACATCATTACCAAATACCTGGAATCGAGCGAAAGAAATCATTCGGCTAGTACTTGCTCGTGAAAAAGATATTAGATAGTGGATTTTGGATATATTTTTTTGTTTGCATATGCATGCAAGTAAAGGAACAGCTCATAAATCCACGCCATAAAGGATATCAATTGTGTGTTTATCATTGTTGATGAAATTTCCCGTCACGCCCATCTCTCAGGTGTGGTCTTTTGTCCAGGACAAGATGAGAGTTGTTATTTACTCATATTTCTGTTTCTCCAACCCTACTGTTTCTATTCTATTAACTATTGACGAGGATGATTTTAACTTACACAGTCTTTAATTCAAGTCCCTACCATATAGGTTCACCACTCTGACGGCACTTCTTTAAATTGATTAATTTTGAAGTGTTACTTTTTTGGACAGAAGAACTTTCCAAGTTGGCTAGAAATTCTTATCATTCGTATCCAGTAGTCAGCCGCTACGAATGCTTAATTTCTGTTTGCTAGGGAATTTAAGGTCTCGAATATTTACTTTCTGGATGTGCTTATTACGAATCGGGAACTCAAGCGACAAAGATACCGCAAATAATAAGTATCTAACCATTACAAACTAGGATATTTTCTGTACAGTGCTGACGATCCGTCTTTGTTCGCCACTAGTGGACCGAGGATAATCAAGAATAACTTATCTTTGTTTTACCAAATAATACTTTCAAAACACGGCAGGCTTCATAACGAACTGTAATTATGCCAGCCGACCTATCAACAAGAGACCTTTAATTGAACAGTGGAATATATTTAAGGGGTTATTAAATACGCGGGATGGGTAGCTCCGTAAGTCTTCAATATTGATGCAGATCTCACTAGTTTTATAGAGTACATCCTATCTGAAAGCTCTTGGTCAAGCGTCTGCAGCATATCGTAATTAGGTTACACAGGCCTAGTAACAACTAGTCAGTTTGAACTATATATTCTTCGAGATTTGTCCTTGAACTTCCACATTTTTGATTTCTGATGTGACTAGACAAGAGATCTTTGGTCATTAGGACGTTGAGAAACACGTACTTGACTGGCAGCGGATATCCATGACACTTTCAATATCAACAAATGTGGGGAAACCTAGTGTGTTCATCGATTTCTAGAATATTCGCAAAAGCAACAATTTCCGGGTTGATAACAATAGCCTTGCGAGTGGTTGCACGGAAACTTTGCATCAACTACGTGGGAGATATATTTTACTTCATTTGATAGAAATGATAGGGAAGCACTTTCAACATTACCAACAGAGCCTCTGACAACACAAAATTTAAATTCGAATTGAATTATTCAATAACTTTCTATTGTAGATCTGTTAGTACCCTAAATCAAAAGAAGAACTGGATACTGGTAATCGAGGTCATCCTCCGCCGAATAAACCATCATGCAAAGCATCGAGAACCCAGTGAATGAAACGATCATATGGACGAACTCTATCTGAAATTGCAAAAATACATTATAGCACCCACACCACAGGGAAGAATTAAATATTTTACGAAAGTATACACAGAAATGGTCACTTGCATGACTTCATGACATCATCATCAAAGGTAAAACCAACAGTGAAAATCAGCAAACGGATAATGCTACCCTACACAAAGAACGTTGAGAACGCAAACCAATCATAAAGTCATATAGGAATCGGCGCATCCCCACGAATCCGCAGAGATATTATGTAAACCAAACAGTTCGTTGATAACTTTTGACCAAGTATATTATATACATTAATCGGTCACTGTCTCGATGGATACTAAAGACTACATTACCAATTCATATCACACAAAGAATGTGACAATTTATAAGCTATGAATACACTTCGCCTTGGATATTTGAATTAAATTAGACTTCCACGATGACAAAATAAAAACAAATACTGACTGACTGGAGCCAAACAATTAAATGCAAGATTAAGGCAGGGAAATTTTATGAAACAGGCGTTGAACAGCATAATGCGTGTACTATAACTAACTCATTCAGAATTCTATTTCACTAGGACAAGTAAAGCGTCCCTGATAGAAATGAAAACATATAAATGATTGCCTGGAAGTCTATGGCAGGAGTATGTGATTGACTCTCTCAAAACATTCACCGGTTTCATCATTTGATGCCTTAAAATATAATTCCTGTTCACTCTTAACCCTGTAACTATATCTAAAGTAGCTAGTTCAAAGACCTAAGTTCTGAGAGTAATCAATACCAGATTAGGTCCAATTTCACTTAGTGTTACTAAGTCCTCTTCGCATTCTCTAACAGCCTAATTTGAGTGGTTAAGATTTTTCCAAGAACCTCCCGGTAATATTAGGATGTTTTATCTCAAATATTCATTTGCTTCATTATTTTGTATAGGCTTATGATATAACGATGGTTCTCCGATATTTTTTATTCACGGTACTCAAAGATGATACTATGAGACTGGGATAGTTTGTTTACCTGAAAGACACACAAAGCAGAGTCTAGACAACATTGAA